AGAAAGCTTTTGACAAAATTCAACACCCATTTATGATAAAAACCCTGCAGAAAGTAGGTGTAGAGGGAACTTTCCTCAATATAATAAAGGCCGTATATGACAAGCCCACAGCCAACATCATCCTCAATGGCGAAAAACTGAAAGCATTTCCACTAAGGTCAGGAACAAGACAAGGTTGCCCACTCTCACCACTCTTATTCAACATAGTTTTGGAAGTTTTAGCCACAGCAATCAGAGAAGAAAAGGAAATAAAAGGAATCCAAATCGGAAAAGAAGAAGTAAAGCTGTCACTGTTTGCAGATGACATGATACTATACATAGAGAATCCTAAAGATGCTACCAGAAATCTACTAGAGCTAATCAATGAATGTGGTAAAGTAGCAGGATGCAAAATTAATGCACAGAAATCTCTGGCATTTCTATACACTAATGATGAAAAATCTGAAAGTGAAATCAAGAAAACACTCCCATTTACCATTGCAACAAAAAGAATAAAATATCTAGGAATAAACCTACCTAAGGAGACAAAAGACCTGTATGCAGAAAATTATAAGACACTGATGAAAGAAATTAAAGATGATACAAACAGATGGAGAGATATACCATGTTCTTGGATTGGAAGAATCAACATTGTGAAAATGACTCTACTACCCAAAGCAATCTATAGATTCAATGCAATCCCTATCAAACTACCACTGGCATTTTTCACAGAACTAGAACAAAAAATTTCACAATTTGTATGGAAACACAAAAGACCCCGAATAGCCAAAGCAATCTTGAGAACAAAAAATGGAGCTGGAGGAATCAGGCTGCCTGACTTCAGACTATACTACAAAGCTACAGTAATCAAGACAGTATGGTACTGGCACAAAAACAGAAAGATAGATCAATGGAATAGGATAGAAAGCCCAGAGATAAACCCATGCACATATGGTCACCTTATCTTTGATAAAGGTGGCAGGAATATACAGTGGAGAAAGGACAGCCTCTTCAATAAGTGGTGCTTGGGAAAACTGGACAGGTACATGTAAAAGTATGAGATTAGATCACTCCCTACACCATACACAAAACTGAGCTCAAAATGGATTAAAGACCTAAAGGTAAGGCCAGAAACTATCAAACTCTTAGAGGAAAACATAGGCAGAACACTCTTTGACATAAATCACAGCAAGATCCTTTTTGACCCACCTCCTAGAGAAATGGAAATAAAAACAAAAATAAACAAATGGGACCTAATGAAACTTAAAAGCTTTTGCACAGCACAGGAAACCATAAGACCAAAATACCACCCTCAGAATGCGAGAAGATATTTGCAAATGAATCAACTGACAAAGGATTAATCTCCAAAATTTACAAGCAGCTCATTGCAGCTCAATAGCAAAAAAACAAACAACGCAATCCAAAAATGGGCAGAAGACCTAAATAGACATTTCTCCAAAGAAGATATACAGACTGCCAACAAACACTTGAAAGAATGCTCAACATCATTAATCATTAGAGAAATGCAAATCAAAACTACAATGAGATATCATCTCACACCGGTCAGAATGGCCATCATCAAAAAATCTCGAAACAGTAAATGCTGGAGAGGGTGTGGAGAAAAGGGAACACTCTTGCACTGCTGGTGGGAATGTGAACTGGTTCAGCCACTATGGAGAACAGTATGGAGGTTCCTTAAAAAACTACAAATAGAACTACCATAGGACCCAGCAATCCCACTACTGGGCATATACCCTGAGAAAACCATAATTCAAAGAGTCATGTACCAAAATGTTCATTGCAGCTCTGTTTACAATAGCCAGGAGATGGAAACAACCTAAGTGCCCATCATCGGAAGAATGGGTAAAGAAGATGTGGCACATATATACAATGGAATATTGCTCAGCTATAAAAAGAAACAAAATTGAGTTATTTGTAGTGAGGTGGATGGACCTAGAGTCTGTCATACAAAGTGAAGTAAGTCAGAAAGAGAACGACAAATACCATATGCTAACACATATATATGGAATTCAAGGAAAAAAAAATGTCATGAAGAACCTAGGGGTAAGACAGGTATAAAGACACAGACCTACTGGAGAACGGACTTGAGGATATTGGGAGGGGGAAGGGTGAGCTGTGATAGGGCGAGAGAGAGACATGGGCATATATACACTAACAAACGTAAGGTAGATAGCTAGTGGGAAGCAGCCTCATGGCACAGGGAGATCAGCTCGGTGCTTTGTGACCACCTAGAGGGGTGGGATAGGGAGGGTACGAGGGAGGGAGATGCAAGAGGGAAGAGATATGGGAACATATGTATATGTATAACTGATTCACTTTGTTATAAAGCAGATACTAACCATTGTAAAGTAATTATACCCCAATAAAGATGTTAAAAAAAAAAAAAGAAAAACATACCTAAAAAAAACACGCTAATCTCACAAACACAGCCAGAAATAATGTTTTGCCAGTTATCTAGGCATCTAGGTCCAGTCAAGTTGACACATAAAATTGACCATCACCAGAGGTAATTGTCAACAAGGAATTGTGTACCTCAGGCAACAACAACAAAAAGTAATAATAATTCACAAAGTCTTTAGAATTATTCATTTGTTCTGTGTATAATAACTCAGTGTGATAAATGCTGAGCCTAAGAAAAAAGTAAGTTTCTTGCTCCATTGAATTTAAAGTTTAGCAAGAGTAAAAGGCACTACAGTATATTCTAATGAATTACTCTTATGAATTGTGCCATGAGAGAATTGTGCCAAATTGTATGGGAATGGTGATAGAGACATGCAGCTTAGTTTAAAAGTTACTTTCTCAAGTGTCCCTTCCCTACTCTCTAGACTGAGAACTGAAGAATGAATAGGAATTTGCCAGTCAAAGGAATAGCATGTTTGAAGGCTGAGCAAGAAAGTGCTTGCTGTGTCCAAGGAACTTAAGAAAGCTAGTGTAAAGTATAGACAATGCTTAGAGATAAAACTGGTTAAACAAAACAGATTTAGGAGGCCCTTTCAGCAGTCCAAGTGAAAGGTGATAGTGGTATAGATTACAGTTGGTGACATTTATACTAGAATTAGGCAGATTTAAGAGTTATTTAAAAAATTGAATTTAAAGGCCTTGGTTATTGATTGAATAAGTGTAGGAGGTAAAAGAGTGGGAATGATCTGGGATGACTCCTGAGTTTCTTCCATGAGCAACTGACTGACAGTGGCATTTACTGAGCTCAGCAATCCTGGCATAAGAGTTGGGTATTGGTAGCAGGGGAGAGAAAAAGATCCTGTCATCAAGTTTGGAAAAGCGTGAGTACCAAGCATTTCAATGAGGTGGATTGGAAGAAACCCATATTGGCGTGGCTGAAGAGTGAATGGGAGATGAATAAAGAAGCAGAGACAGTGTGGACCACTTCAAAAAGTTTTCTATGAAGTGGGTATGGGGTTGAGGGAAGGTATGTTAGGACAGGAGAGACCTGAAGAGATAGATGAAGATGCAGGTACTTGATAGGTTTGGTGATGGGAAGTTGAGTACATTTCTATCTGATAGCTTCTCTTTTCTCTTTAAGTAAGTGTTAAGAATGAGAAAAGATCACAGGAAGGGTGACCAAGATTTGAGGAAAATGGAGATTTAATATCATCCCTGATATAGAGTGAGAGAAACATTATAAGATTGTCATATACATGAAGGTCCTATTGAGGCTGATGATCATGAATTGGTATTAGTAGTGACAGCGAATTTCTTCTTCAGTGACATTCAGCTTTACATGTATAGGCCCTGGAAGCCATTTTCATCCAGAATTAGGATTTTACCAGGGCGTTATGACCAAAGGACAGAGGGGAAAGGGAGTTTAAGGTATTTGCAAGAGAGTGACTAAAATTATAAGCCCAGGACTCTAAGCTGGATGGGGAGAGAATTTTGTTAAGGAAGACAGTGATGGATCTGAAGAAAACTGAGGAATTAGTTAACTGGAGGTTCACATGAAGTTGAAGCAGAATTGTAGTAGAGTACCTGAGCAAAATCCCTGGAAGAATAGAGGTTGTGATCAGAGAATGGGATGTTTGAATTAGAGATTTTACATGTGGAATAATAGTCCCAGGTATAATCATAGTAGCAGGTAACTGTAGCATAGTGAGGTGGGACAGTTAGAAATGAAGCAGCCAAGAAAAGTGAGAGCACTGTTAATCCTTGAGGAAAATTCTCCTATTATCCTGATTTTACTCATGAGGAAACTGAAATTTAGAAACTGAGTTAAATAGAATGTTGAAGGCTACAGAGAAAAGCCAGCACTTAAGTCCATCCTTGTCTGACACCAGGACCATTTTTTAAAATTACTCCATTACACGGGTGTGTTATGCAGTATGGGAGCAATAAGTAGTTGTTGATGATTGGTTTTAATTGGTTTTTGATTACCTTAAAGAGATGAATATATTTGGGTTAACATATAAGAATTACATGAGAAGGACTCAAATTCCTGAAGGGCAATTACGTTAAAAATTGAGATATTTAGAAAAGAAAAATTTTTACTCTTCTTTATTTATTCAAAAATGAGTTATTGAAAGAAATTTATTATTATTATTATTGAAGACCTAATTTATGCCAGGCATTGTCCTAGGCACTAGGGTTATCAAAGATGAGTTAAGTTTGGTCTTTGTAACTGAGATATTCAATAGGTGTTCCACATCTGGAGAAGCTTAGGTCCAGCATTATAGCATGAAAAAAATGGACTAGATTAGAACTACACGTATAGAATCTTTTAAGGAAAAAAATAGCTTCTTACATCCCTTCCTAGATATACTGAATTAAAATTACTGGAGATTGAATCTAGGAACTTATTTTTTAAAGTTTAGTGATTCTGATGATCTACCAGGTTCTGGAAGTAGTAGACTAGATAACTTCTTAAAGTCCATTTCAAACCTTTGACCTTATTTCCTATTCCATTTCTGATAGTAAGGATTGTAATAAAGTATATCCTAGAAGCCATAAAAATTACTTTGTTTTAATAGTTTATTTTTTATATAATTTAGGAAATTCACAAGGAGAAGCAATTTCCAGCAAAGTGGAAACAAATCAGACAAGGGGTTCTTTGTGTCCAGAGCCAGCGCACTTGCTCTCCTCACTTTCTTCATTTCAGCCAAAAATATTCACACAACTACAGGTAAGTATCCAGTGTAATAGCCAAATTTGGGGCCCTTATCGTTCTTCCTCAATCTTCCCTCTTTTATTAGGGATTTAACAGAATTGTTATAGAATTATAAAGATGATCAAAGATGTTTTCATCATTAATTTTCTGACTTTTTTGTGTCTTGATTTAAGATGATAATTCAAACAATATGTTTTGGAAAAGTTTGAATTGACTATGCATGCGATAAAATTAGTTGTACTAATTTTCATTTGGTTCTTGTTTCTGTCCTCCTTAATATTTGTTATTAACTATACTCTTAGCTTTTATTCCAATTTTGTGTCAAAAGAGTAATATATTTGATAAGAAAAACATACATAGTAAATTCAAACATTTTGATGTAACTCTTTTCGGTTCAAAAGGGTTTGCAGTTGCAACCAAGATTCACATCTTCTGATGGATCACCAGCTCTGATATCAGTAAATAATCACCCCTCCTCCAGTCCTTCAAGACTTCTGGATTCAGTAGGAAGTGCTGTAATGAATAATAATTCTCTACTGCTTGGTCAAACTCATTGCCTTCAAACAGATACATGCCTAACCCAAAACAATAGTATTTCCTCTACCATGGGTAACCTTCCAGGACCCGATCAAAATCTGGTTGCAGTGGATCAGCTGGTGGAAGTTGGAGATGTTGAGGATACAGAGAATCTGGAAGGAAATGTTCATCGGATTCTGCTGGGAAATGTGCATACCATTCCAATACAGATTATAGACAGCCACCCAGCCCTTAGTAAGTTAAAATCATATGATTTTATTTTTTTTAACCTTTATGGACTATTATCACTATTACACTAGAGAAAAAAAAACTGTCATTTCTACTCAGTGGGTTTATAATATATTAATAAATCAAGTAAAACCAGGAGAAAAAGGGAAGAAATTTGGTGACCATGAGTTTAATAACTTTTAAATATTTTAATGTTTTTCTTTATCAAAATTATTCATTCCCTAATTACCTAGTTTTACATGGAAAATCTGTGGTGATGTGAAATCAGGAAGGTCATTTTTTTTTTTTTTTAGGAAGGTCATTTTTGAATGCATGAAAAAAAATTAGAGAAACTCTAAAAGGAAAACTATTTAGTGTAAAGGTTATTATGGAAAAATTGATACACACAAAGAAAAATGGGATGAACTGGCAGATATAAAGGTTAAAAGGAGGATTTTGAGTTATAGACTTAAATGTTGAGTTCTATAGAAATTGAAAGGGAACTAGTAAGACTTGGGGACTGGGTTTTAATCCAAGACTTTGTTGCCTTCACTTTGGAATGAACCCAGTCAACATAGTAATAAATTCTATTAATTGCTACTTGACCTATGCCACTTCTTTTCACACAAATTGTTCTGGATTGGGCGTTTTTGTGGGAAAAGTTCTGCAGTTTGCTTTGAAGAACAAAAATCTTCATAGAAATTATCCTTAGAACATATATTTTCCCCTCCATGTGTGAGATAGTGCCTTCCAGAAAAAAATCATTGGCTTTTAAATTTATAGGAAACATACTTTTAAGAAAATTTATCCAGAGGGCTGTGGCAGTTGTCTTTAGGAACTTTAGGAGAAGAGAGAGAAAAGGAATATACATGAACTAATCCTCACAACTACTCCATGGAATAGCTAGTAGTGTCCCCATTCTACAGATGAGGAGACCAAGGCTCTGGGAGGTTAAGTAATTGCCTAAAAATCACATCTAGTAAGTGACAGAGAGGGCATTTAAACCCAGATCTGTCTGCCTCCAAAACTTCTTCCAGTTCTAAGATCTCTCGTCCCTCCATTGTGCCAAGGTTTTCTGGGAGCTGTAATTCAGATTGCCTTAAAGGGCACCCTCTTTGGATCTGAACTTGCATGATCTATCAAGTTAGATCATGATTTTAGGGACTACTTCACCTAAATATGAATTCTCAGAATCACTCAAATCCATCCTCTACTGGTTTTCTCGATATGGTGTAGGCTAAACTCTAACACACCGGTATGTGACAAGCATTAGGTGTGTTCAACACACTTTTCTGAGCAAGTATAGTCCCCTTAACCTTGGTTCCCCATAGCAACTGAAAAACTGATATTCCTGAGAAAGAGAAAGATTTTATCTTAGGTATCCCACCTGCCAGATCACAGTAGTGTTGCTGGTTTGCTACATTTACATTAATTTGGTCATAAGTACTTTGAAATCAGAATGGTAGTACATTCTGAAATGTTTCCCATAAGCAAACACATAGCTCATGCAGCTAAGTCAGAGCTATCATTTAAGATGTTGCATATTTTTTCTGAAGTATTTAAGTAGTGTGGTTTCTTTAGGGAGACAACATTGAGTGAGTATGGCGACCATATGAGAATGGTAACACATCAGTGGATTTGTAGTATATGTTTGCTGTTTGTAAAAAAAAAAAAATCATTTTCAAATAATGAGAGGCTTCCTGACTTTTAGTCACACATATTTTTAAAGACAGTTGAGTTTAAATATGAGATATTCCTCGTAATTTTATCAAATTATGGACTAATTTTTGGTCAAAGAATCTTTTGAAGCGTGTAATTTGCAGTTTTCTTGGTCTCTTTTTTTTTTCCGTACTGAAGGAATTTAATATGAATGACCGTTAAGATGTCAGAAGTATTGAGTTCTCAAATACACCAACTGATTTTCTAAATTACTTGATTCTTTTTCCAAACTACTGTTTGTTTGTTTTTTGCCTTGCTTCTAAATTCATATAATTCTAAAGATTCCAGTATTATAAATTATATTAACCCTTAGGGTTTTTCTTTTATGTTCGGTTTTAAAGTTGAAGAAAGTCCAGAAGGTACCATTTCTGTGAACCAAGTTAAGCAAGAACCCAAAGAACCAGCATTATCTATGGAAGCAAAAAAAAAATTGGACTGTAAGAAATTGTCTGCTACATAAATTATTGAAGCTTTTCAGAATTTACAACTCTGGTGACTTCTGATGTCATAAAAAAGAAGGTGAATATTATCACAGCGCAGCATTGTGATAAGTGGACTGAAGACTGGTTTAATGAGCAGCTTTAATTTAAAACTGACATATTTGTTGCTAACTCCCTATTTTTACCTTAAGAGATATTTTATTCCTCTTATTTTGTATAATTCTTATGCTTTTTGATTATCTGATAAGGCCAGTATTTCAAAAGGTCATCTGAACGTATCCACTTATCTAATTCATCCTCTGGAAATTAGATATTAATTTTGGTTCTTAAAAAAGAACAACAAAAAAAGTGTGTGAGTTTGTGTGTGTTTGTGTGTGTGTGTGTGGTGAATTTTTTTGAGTTCTGAAAGAGTTATTCCCTCTTTAAAGTTGTGAAGAAAATTTTTAAATTGGCAGACGAGAGAATAGCTGAAGTCTGTCTCATTTGGAAAGAAAAACAACAGATTTTACATCATAACATGAAGCCCAACATTCACATCTGTGAAAACTATGTATTGCATTTTAGCTTCTTCCATTCTAATTTTTATACTTAAAACTACAAACCAGTAGTATACCGATGGTTGTCTAGTAGAAATTTACAGTGTCTTGGTAAGTACTGAGAGTTTTAACTTGAATCAGATAAGCAAGAGAAATAAATGTTTTTTGCATGGATTTATACAGTATTGTAGTTAAAATACTGCTTATGGGTTGAAAAATGTAGAAATTGAGAGAATTCAGAAAGAATAATAGAATTCCCTGGTGTTAACAGATAATTAGGGGAACTTTTTGATATCAGCAGAAGATTTTTCTTTTTTTTTTTTTTCCCCCTATTTTGTATTGAAGATTCAGCTCTGGTTAGAAAAGAATTTGAGCTGTATTTATTTTTCTGTGCCAGAGTTCTTAATGAATTGATGGTATTAAAATTTATAGTATTTGAAGGTAAAGATTTATAGTTGAAAATTTAGTTCATATTTAAAACTTTAAAACAACTGGTGTGTTATATTTGCTTGTTGAATAAGCATATTTACTTCAAATACTGAACAAGTACTAATGAGTATATTCATTATAAGCTTCTCTTTTCCAGAAGATTGGTAACCTAGAAATGTCAATTATAACTATCAAGAAATCACCTAAAGGCTTTTTTTCCCTGTAGAGACCATGTGTGGGTTTATTTAAATTTTTATTTAAAAATAAGCATTTCAAATGGATATTAATGTTTAATATTCAAAGCATACAGAATATAATATGAAATTCAGCCTTAATACTTTACATGAATATGAGTCTTTTTGTAAGTATATTTACTTCAAATACTGAATAAGTACTAATCAGTATATTCATTATAAGCTACTTGTTTCTATAAGGCTGGCGAACTGGAAATGTCAATTATAGCTGTCAAGAAATCAACCTAAAGCCTTTTTTTCCCTCAGAGATCATTTGTGGGTATATTTAAATTTTTATTTAAAAGTAATAAGCATTTCCAATGGATATTAATGTTTAATATTCAAAGCATGCAGAATATGAAATTTAACCTTAATACTTTATATAAATATGAGTCTTTTTGGCTTTTCTAAGTTCAATCTCCCATTCTTAATTCACTTTGTTTCAGGTACACAACATGTATCTAAGTATAAAGCACTGTTATGTTAGAAGCAGATGGAATTATAAAATTCCTTGCTCTTTATATTTATACCCTATTTAACATAAAAGTTATTTATACCTATATTTAATGCAAAGTTAATATTCAGTTACATATATAATTTTTTAATAAGAATTGCTTTTATTTTTCCTAAGAATTGAAAATACTTGATGTCAGCATTTATAGAGGCAGGCTGCCAAATCTATGTTATGCTAAGTTAAACACAACTCTTGGGCTTCCCTGGTGGCGCAGTGGTTGAGAGTCCGCCTGCCGGTGCAGGGGACACGGGTTCGTGTCCCGGTCCGGGAAGATCCCACATGCCGCAGAGCGGCTGGGCCCGTGAGCCATGGCCGCTGAGCCTGCGCGTCCGGAGCCTGTGCTCCGCAACGGGAGAGGCCACAACAGTGAGAGGCCCGCGTACAGCAAAAAAACCCCCACAACTCTTAGTTACCTCAAGCCCAGTTTTCTCTTAGTCTGTGTGTACTTAAAGGGTATAAGTCCAAATTAATTTATAGTTTAGTGTTGCATTGTGGGTAATATTCATTTCATTTGTTATTTCTAGTTTTTATGGAAACTTTTTTCAAGATTTTAAATAATAGATCTTTACCTTTCATTAATGACGATAGTTTATTAGTTTATTGAACTATATTCCTTTGGAGACATTCCTTTTTGATGTTGCTAAGGAGAAATGCTTGTTAAGATACAAATTCTAGTCAGTTACCTAGGAGGATGAGAGATGTCAGAGGATCCAGACTTTAGCACTTGGTCAAGAACAAAACATAGTTTAAAGACATTTCTCACTTAATTCTATGTGAATGTCTCTTCTGATCCTTTTTTTATGAGGACAGAAAGTTGCAGTGAATCTTCCCCACAAACAAAAAGAAAAAAAAAAGAGCATGAAGGTTTAAATCCCTAATTGTATACTCTTTTGGTTTTTAGGTAGGAACTGGAACTATCAATATTTTCATGTAAGTATTTTAATGAGTAGCTCTTTAAAAATGGTTTCTAAATTAATTTTTAAAAATTAATTTGTCCTCCAAATGCATGTTCAGTCACAGTATATTGGTATTGTATTTTAAAGGTGTTTAGCATTGCTTTTTTAAAAGTATGTTTACGTTTTTTAAATATTCAGTTAATTTTAAAATGCACAGGGTATTAAATACAGTGCATAAAGTTTTCAGTATCTGTATTTGTCATTCTCCTAACAACTCTGCAGCAAAGTTTGACATATGCTCTTTTGTGTCATGTATTACAAGGTGTAATATCTGTAGTAGAAAGTTGGATGTTCAAAACAAGCAGTTAGAATTCATAATTACAGCTGAGCTTGTTTCTTTATTGTAGTTATCATTATAACTACGCCTCCAAGTGAACATTATATATACTACAGTGAATTATAGATAAACACAGGCATGGTGGGTCCTTCCCTCAATATTGATTTTCTGTGTAAGCAGTTAACATACTTAAAAGAAAAAGCTTTTATGTCTTATACAAGGTAAATGTTTTCTAAAAGTCACAAAACTGATAGAAAATAGCCTTGGTGATATGGTCCTGCATTAGAGTTTCTAATCTTGAGGCCTACCAGCTTGTGTTTCATCTTTATATCCTGTCAAAATACATACTTAATCATGTGAATATGAGAAAGATGCGGTTTAATTTTGTACCAGGTTTTTTAAAAAATTAAAAAATGTGTGTATATATGTTTGTGTGTGTGTGTGTGTGTATATATATATATATATATATATAGTAACTTAATGTTTACTGTCCTTGTTATAATGTAATTTTTTTCATTAAAAAATACTGTTACTTTTTTCTTAAGCTTGTTAGTTTCCTTTTTATACTTTTCCTGAGCATAGTGGTAATTTTGTTCATCTTGAAGATGCTGAATAAACACATTAGTACCTGAGAATTTTGGCTAGAGATGTATGTTCAATTTGGAACCTGAATGTTTTTAAGCATAACTACCAGTAACTCCTGTTATCATTATGTTTGGGGATATATGTGCATTCAGTGCTCTCAACTCAGCCAACTATCAACATTTTAAAACAGTGTGTTTAATAGGGTGTAAGTAATTCTTTTTTCCCCCCATATTTTGGCATTATAACATCTTCAAGTACAGTTTTATATTTTTGGAGTAGTGACAGGAATATGTGATTTAAAAAGTCACATACTTTTGAAAGTCACAAAATCATTAATTTTTTCCCTCTTTGCTTTTTTTTTTTCCTTTATTCCACTCTACCTACTTTTCAGGACCATAGAATATCTTACTCTCTCTCCAGAGGGGGACTGCATCGTCTCTTCCCCATCAACTGATTAGGCTTTAGACATCTTAAATGGTGTATTATTTTTATCTAACTATCTGTAATTCTGCTCATTTAACATAATGGTAATGGCAAAGCCTAGTATACTTTTGCCACATACATGTTAGCTATGAATTCTGTTGTTGAATAATATAATATTCATTGCCGACTGAATTCTAAAAACTTAAGGAATTAACTCAGAATTTTAAAAAAATCACATTTGTTAATGAGCCCTAAATTGATTCATGAGAAAAATAAACTGTATGATTAATATGGAAAACCTTTGAGAATGTGATATGGGTATAAGAGTGCAGGGGAGATGTTGCTTAATGGTACAAACTTGCAACTAGTAGATACATAATTCCTGGGCATCTGATGTACTGCATGGTGATTATAGTCAACAATACTGTATTATAAACATCAAAGTTGCTCAGAGACTAGATCTTAATTGTTCTCACTACAAAAAAGAAATAATAATTATGTGACATGATAGAGGTGTTAGCTAAAGCTACAGTGGTAATCATATTGCAATATATAAATTATCGAGTTAACACGTTGTACACCTTAAATGTTATATGTCAATTATATCTCAATTATCAAAAGAATTCTAAAACCAGAGGAGAGACTGGGAGTTAGATACCAGCAGAGTTTTAATTTTTAAATATCTCTATTTAAGTATATAATTGACATAAAATAAACTGCACATATTTATAGTATACAATTTGGTAAGTTTTGATGTATGTATATGTCTATGAAACCATCACCACAGTCAAATTATGAACATATCTATCACCCCCAGAAGATTCCTGGTGCCCCTTTGTAATCCATTCCCACTTCTTCCTGCCTCCACCCTTACCCCACCATCCCCAAACAACTACTGAATTGCTTTCTGTCACTAGAGGTCAATTTATTATGTCTACAATTTTATAAAAATGAAATCATATAGTATGAGCCTTTTTAAAATCTGACTTTTGTCACTCAGCATAGTTATTCTGAGATTCATCTATGTCACAAGATGTATGAATAGTTCATTCCTTTTTACTGTTGAGTAGTATTCCATTGTATGAATATACCATAATTTGTTTATCCATTCAGCTGTTGATGGGCATTGGGTTGTTTACATTTCTTGGCTATTACAAATAAAGCTGCTATGAACATTTGTGTAAATCTTTGTATGGACATATGCTTTCATTTCTCTTGGGTAAATATAGGAGTAGAATGGTTGGGTCATATGGTAGGTATAAATTTAACTTTTTAAGAAACTCTGAAATGATTTTCCAAAGTGATTGTACCATTTTACATTCCAGTCAGC